CAAAAAATATCAGGCTTAAAAAAAATCAGTCGGTATTTTATGCTTTAAATGCATAAAATACCAATATTTAATGGGTAATAACGCGCCTTATTCGATTTAATGTACATAACCATATTTGTGCTAATTGAATAATTTTTTTTTCAAATTTATTATTTAGAAAAAAAACTCTTGTTAGGATGAAGATACTTCTAGTAAGCGAATTCCGTTTTATGGATATCTGTCGTTTTTAAAATTACAGCCCCCCAAGCACGCGATATAAAAGACTTCGTTTTAATAAATAATCAAATAAATAATTTATGATTAATTAAGTGTATTATAAGTGAATACATATAAAAATGAAGAATAAGTTACGAACCACACTATAAGTACTAGAAATAAAAATTCTAGAGTCGGCAGCGCTCGTAGCGGAGTGGGTAAGGTACTCGACTTGTATGCAGGAGGTCGAGGGTTCAAATCTCTAATTTGAAAAGTGTTTTTTTTTTTAGAATTGTAAAAAAAAGTTCTAAAGTTAGATAAAAGTTATTGTGGTAAAAGAAAATTAAAATTCGTTTAAAAAATAATTGTTGGGGAGTGTGAGGGGGAATGGTGGGCCGATGTGTGCAGAAGACTAGCGTAGCACAGTCGGAAGATACAGGGTGAGGGGAAGTGTGTAGGGAACTGATGGAGAGTGTGACGGGGTAAGGGGGTAAATACAATGAATAAAGAGGAAGAGACTTCCAGTAACCGACTACCGTGTTATAAAAATCTATCTTTCTAAAATTTCTAGCCCCTCCAGTACGCGACATAACGAACTTTATTCTAAAAAGGTTTAAGGATTCTTATAGGGAAGTGTGAGATTATGGGTTATTTTTTATTCAATTTGTAAGGGCATTATAATGTAAAGAAAAAAAAATAGTAAAATATAAATGATTTTCATAATGTATGATACTTAAAGTATTTAAAGTTAATGTTGAGTTGTGTGGGACAAAGCAGAAAGCGCGTAAAAAGCGAAGGTTCTACTAGATAGTTGCACTAAATTACTTATGACACATAGAAAGATGAATGTCTGTGGTAAGTATTGTTTGTCTAGTTTTTTAGTATATTTTTTATATTTCCTGAATATCTCTATGATATCTCTCTTATCTTAGTTTTCTGATTTTTTTTTTCAAATACTTACAGATGCATGCACGTAACTGCACTTACCTTATTAAGTGTCCTCTCTGACTTAGTGCATTGATAAATCATAGTTCATTACTAACCTAAAAAGTATGCTGTAAAACGTACAAGAATTCACAGGATACCTTTAGTTTTTAAACTTATACTCTTTGATAACAGTTGTAATATGTTCTAATTTTAAGTTTTAAGCTTTCTAGCTTACTTTTGTCGCATTTTAATACCTTTAAAAATCAGAAAGTATCAAGTGAGTACACAAATTTTACAGCTTTACTAGTCAAATTCTATTAATTTTTTTCTCATAACATAACTTTTCTTATGATCATTTTTATTTTAGTAATGCTGATCCGTATAGACAGTACAAGAGATGTGATTTTCAAGAATTAATAGTTTAAAGATTTGAAAGAACAATCTCTGGTAGAGCAACTGAAGCTGTTAACAAACAGCACTGTTGGAAGTGAAACACAAAGGAACTATTTTTGGTCAGTTTAAAAAGTTATTCATTTATTCTTTCTTTGTATACAACTTTTTTAAGCACCAGAATACACCTGCTGTTGAGCACAAAAATTTGACTGGTTTATATGCCCGATCAGAAATCTTAGTGGGGTGCTGATGGGGTCCACTCTAGGCTGCCAAATTAACCACATGTGGTCCTAGAATGGCATCGTCATGGGGCGTAGATGTGGTCCTCTCTAGTGTGCCAAATTAACCACATGTGGTCCTAGAATGGCATCGTCATGGGGCGTAGATGTGGTCCTCTCTAGTGTGCCCCAATAGGAAAGAAAGTTTACCTAACCTTTTGTATTTTTTGTGTAGGTACATCATTAAATTTGATACAATTATCATAAGAGCATGTGCCTGATTTACCATGCGTGCTATGCAGATTATGGAGTTTATCGGCCGTACAGATAAGGAAGAATTGAATTACGGTCACATACATTTAGCCCAAAGGCAGAAATATATATTGTTTTCAACAGTTTTAGCTAGGTTATTGGGGCAGCCTACGATGGACCCTCAGTTCGCCCCGTGACGCACCTGATGGAGTATCAACTAGGCAGCCTAAGGGGGACCCCATTAACTAAGGTGGCAAACCCGTTAAATTTCTGATCGGATGGCACCCAAACAATTAGAGATGAATAGTTTTCTGATAACACGAAACACTCGATTTGGCTTGATTCTCATTCTCCCGCTACACTATGGAACACACTTACTATCTGGCACTCCAACTTTACATAAAGAAAAAGGAAGCTAACCTTAGAGTACAGTACCACTTCACTTTGCAGCTTCCAAAACCTGGATGTTAGAGCACAAGGCTAACAACTGTATTTGGATGCTCCCTTATTGTACAACAGCATAAGTACATTATTATTTTATAACAACTACTACTGTCTTATTGTGCAATAGCTGATACTCGCTTACTACCCACGTAAGCTAAGATTGTTTCTACTAATACTATCCAGCAGTTGATTAAACGATAGCTTAAGCTGTTTCTCCTTCTACTATCTAATCATGTAGTAGCATAAGTGTTTGTCTTTCCACCATTACCTTTAAGGAAGTTGGGGTGGAGCCCAAAACCATTATGGTTAATCTACTTACCTCTTTGTATTAAAGCCCTTTATTAGTTTTTTTTTTTTTTTTAACAGTCAACAAACTTTCGAGATAAGTTCATAGTATCTAACGATTGTTACCTAATGAAAATATTTCAAAGTCCAAACAATACTTTTATTTACCGTGAAAATTCTTTTTGTTTATTAGTCTAACTGAAAAAATGTAATTATTTTCCTCTAAATAACATTTACACTTCTCAGTACACACAAAAAAATGTTGAAACTACTTTTAAATTAAAATTGAAGAAAAATTTGACAACGTAAAAAAAAGGGTATTTTTTCTCTATGACATGGAAACATGAATCTTTTACAGGGATTAAGTAATCTATTCTCTGTTTACTGCATAAGATTTTACTATTATTTGCACAGAGAATAAATTAGAATTAATACTGTTTGAGCGGCAGAGAACAACTGATCTACGTGGATTGCAATAATTAACTCTTCGTTGGGTTTTAAACTAAGTCTTCATTGCTATACACTATCCAGAGTAATACTACAAAGACATTGTGAGAAATTTCTGTTCAATAAAAATAGTTATTAAGGAAACTAAAACTTAACTTTTTTATTTTTTAATCNGGCGAAAAGTGGCCTCTAAAATTCTCATACATTTAGAAAAAACTTTTTCCAGCTCTTCTCAAAGATGTTGAGAAATCTCCGTATGCGATGCTCCAGTTTCAAAAAAAAGATGTAGAAAGAATTGCTCTTTATCCTAATTTAGATTATCGGCAACTTTATAATGTCTTGTCACAGCTAGCAGACGTGATTCCATCACTGCACAGTGGAGTATATGGTATGTATAACTAGTTTTAGTAACTTATAAAGCCTTTACAACTTTTTAATGAAAAAAACCAAAAATAAATTATATGTTTATATTTTAAGGCACAACCGCAATTACTAGAGAAAATTATGCTTTAGATATAAAAAAATATTTCAATAGATAAATATTATGAAAATGAATTACTTGATAAATTACTTATACTTTACAAATTAATTAATAATAAATCAACGTACAAGGAAATAAAATGGCTGTCTGATCTCAGTCTAGTAGTGTTCTACCATTTTAAGTGCAGGACACTTGCTTAACGCTTAATAAGAAGCTTATAGCTTTGTTCTAATAAATTAAAAAAAAAGTTGAAATCAAAACTGATTTTGTGTTGGACTTTTACTTATACCTCACACACAGTTATTAAAAAAAAAAATTTACAATGTGATAGAAGTTTGGTGGAACCTTATTACTTATTTAATAAGCTTCTTTATGGTGTATTGCCCATGGACAACGACAATAAATTTCGAAAATTTCATTTAAAAACTTCAGAAATTTTACGTTCGAAGTAATTTCAAACTTCTTGCAAAAATAAGAAAAATTGTGTCTGGGTGTAAATCAAGCACACAATCTATTGTTCAGCAGAAAGTTTCTTTTCTATGTAAGCCAACAAAGAGCTGTACGTTAATACATATCCTAGGTTCTCATCAACATTTTACTGACAAGCTAAAAACTATTTTCCAGTTATACCTTAAGATGATATAAAACTTGTGCTTCTGGTTTTGAAATACCCCAACAAATAAAAAAACCCATTGGGCCTGATAGTGCGTGGGAATACACAGAATTTGGGTAGCACAAGAAATAGAGCTACTGTCAAGTTAGCAGTACCATGTGCGTTTGATCCACTCATGAGAAAGATTTTTTTTAATTTTTGTAAAAAGTTTGATTTGTCTTGAAACCTATTATTACAGGTTTTTTAATTTAATTTAAAAAAATTATTTGTCATGTATGAAGTAATAACGCTTTAAACAGTGTCTTCGAATATATGGGAGCCTATTAATAGGATGATACCTATGTGTTACAAAATTACATGGAATAACAATAAGAAAGTCACGATAAAGTTTTAATATATTAATTGTAAACAAGCCAAAATAAGTTTTTCATATATTAAAAAATAATACCAATAAATCAAATAGTTACACTTATCTACGTACACATACTCACAATAGTGGGACTTTTTCTTTCAAGTCCATTAAAAAAGAGCCCCTACAATAAGCAATTGTAAAATGGTGTTAAATTTAT